ATAAATTTCAAAATTAAAAATTCATGTAACCTTTGATCCAGCAATTCCACCTCCAGAACAGAGACAAATGATTGAAAATAAACTAGACATCTCTTAATAGAAGATTGGTTAAATAATTTATGGTGCATTCCATCAAAGGAGTATAGCACAATCTCAAAAAGGAACAAGGAAATCCTTTATGTCTTGATATGTAATAATTTCCAGGATATACTGTTAAGCAAGTAGAGCAAGGTACAGAAGAATGCTTAAATACTCTATCATTTGTGTGCAAGTGGAGAGGAAATATTTTTATGTGTGTGAATGCTTATATTTATTTGCATTCATGTGCACAAAATATCTCTAGAAAAATAAATTAAAAATGAGGGGTTTGAGAGTCAAAAGTAGAGGTGAAATTTTATGGAAGATCCTCTTTGTTGTTTGAACTTTGCAACTTATGAGCGTATTACTAATTGAAAATATTTATTATAACAAAGAAATGAAATGAAATCTGTAATTCAGTGAGATAATGACAGGGAGACCAAAGAAACATAGGTAAAAGTTACGAAATAAAAATTTTCACAGATGTGTTAACTGAAAGGTTTAATGACTATAAAGAAAAGATAAACCTTTTCAGTAACCAGAGAGCTACACTGAGTTGTCTACACTGAGACAACTGAGATGCCAAGTAGATAGGCAAAGATTGGAAAGGAGAGTCATATCTAGTGCTGGAGAGGATGAGGGCACAGGGCCTGCCTCTGGGTAAGTGGGATAGTCTACCAACATGAAGTAAGGCTAAATCTAGAGCATCTTCCCTGAGATCTGGCAATACTACCCTAGGTTCACCATTTGCATTGAAATCCTTTATCTCTTTGAGTTGTGTGCCAGCTTTAAGGACCTGGCTTATTTCTCTGTTTTTATTTTTAATTTACTTCCTTTGTTCAATGCCCAGAATATTTCAGTATGAAATGCAGAACTCAGGTTTGCTAAATAAACATTTAATCCAATCATTCTCAAACTTGACATATTAACATGAACTGGAGATTTTTACAAAATTATTCACCGTCTTGGGGTAGGGGTGGGGTTGCAAACAAGTGTGGAAACCACTGCTATAATCTTGTAGGGGCAAAATAAGTCTTTTCAGTTTTCTGTTCATGAGATAGCCATCAAGTATAATTGCAGGCTTCTACAATAGAGTATGCATTCTTCAACTGGGAGATATGTAATAAGCTCTCTCATCTCAGTGGTATCCCCATATCAAGCAACTCCTCACCTCCAAAGACAGTATACCTCACTACCCTGTCCAACCCCTAAACCACTGATTCTACCAGATATAAAAAGAACACTAAATAAATGGAGAATTGCAAAAGTAGAACATTTCCACAGGGTGGAGTATTTAGCTATTGTGTGGTTGTTGTTGCTTTGTGCCTTTTTTGTTTTGTTTTGATTTTTACTTTTCATTTTTATGAGGAAGTTGGAGATCAGCTCTGTTTCATCTCTTATTTGCAGAATAGGACTATAATTACTAAGAATGGCAACATTTTCAAGATCCACCAAAACAAATGACCTGTCCTGCATAGATTTTCATTATGGATGAATAGTCTCATGCATTCTCTTCCCACTGAAGAAAGTCTGTGAGAGGCCTGGGTAAAAGCCAAAGAGTGTAGCTCACTTGGAGTAATAGCTGCATCATATGTATATTCTGGTGGCCTGAGGGGGTCTGGGAGGTCATGTCCAATAGACAAGGCTGCCACTTTAATTAGTTATTTTGGCATGAGCTTCCCTTCCTTCATCACCTGAAAAATAGGATTAGCTTCCTTCCTGTCCTTGTGCACTTGGTTGTGAGTGATGTGTCTTCCGGGGCAGGATAGGAAATAACTCAGGGATCAAGAATGTCAACATGTTCTGAATGATGTGGGCCTCAGGTTGGCTTCTTGGAATAGCAATTTTGAAAAAAAAATCATTCTGTCTTTGAATTGACAGTTCTCTTGGTTCATCTAAATTTCTTAGTCTTCATTTTCAAATTGGTATCATACCAAAATTATGCCTTTTTGGGGGTTAGAATTTCAAATTACTCAGACTTTTCCTTGCTAAACACTAGATTAAGTGTGGTTCTTTATTGTTCAGTACAACACCCTTGTTTTTCACATGTTTAACAGGATGTACAGTGGGAGGGGAAGAAAGAGGATATGGGCAGGAAAGACTGTGTAGTGAAGACTAGGGAAACAGTACGTACCTTTAATTAATTTTCAATTTTACTTTGTTATGGAATCATACAAATAGTTCATAATGATTCTGATAGATGAATTAAATGTTCTTTTACACCATTCTGTATTTCCACAATGTTTATTTCATACACATTTATTAAACAGATGTATGGCTCTGGCAGGTAATAGGGTTCAGGGCATTAGTTTTAGCTAGAGAGCTTGATATTGCATAGTCTAGAAGGTGGGGAACAACCATGCTGTGGACTCATGCAGATTAAACAGGTTTGCCTTCATGGTAGAGCCCTGAGAAAAGAATATGATGTCCTCATGGGTCTCCTGATAAATCAGTATCTCCTCCATCATGTCTCACACTCAGGGCCCATTATACAAAAAGTCCATCTAACCACCCACTTTGACCTGAGGACCATTTACAAGAATATACATATGATGCAGCTATTGCTCCAAGTGAGCTACACTCTTTGGCTCCTACCCAGGCCTCTCACAGACTTTCTTCAATGGGAAGAGAATGCATGAGACTATTCATCCATAATGAAAATCTATGCAGGACAGGTCATTTGTTTTGGTGGATCGTGAAAATGTTATCAGTGCATACTCCTGGCCCTTGTGAAGCAGAAGCTCTGAGCCCAGAGCCAGGGAATCTGCATTTTTAGCAATATTTTACACACTATATTTCAAAACTTTTAATCTAGAAAGACGTTTGATTCAGAACATGATTTGGAGACTGTCAAAGATCCTAGTGCAATTGTTCTCCAAATCTATTGTTTATTGAAAATATCAGAAGAAAGATTTAGAAATTCAGATCTCAGATATACCAGAGCCTTAATTAATCAGAATCTTTGAAGGTGGAGCCAGGATTTTGGAATATGAACAGGTCAAAGATGATTCTTCAGCAGGGATAGCATTTGGAGCTTTGATGGGAAAGTGTCTCAATTTCTGGCATGAGGTGTCTATTTCACAATTTTTGCCACATGTTTAATTTCCTTTATTGAATTATTACTGTAAATCACTTTTTATTCTTCTTTTGCTTTTTAAAATTAAAGTCTAATTCATATACAACAAAATTAATTCTTTTAGATGTATAGTTCTATGAATTTTGACAAATAAATACAATCATGTAATCTGTACCACAATCAAAATCCAGAACCATTCCCTCACCTGCCACAATTCTCTGGTGTCCTTTATAGTCATCTCATCCCTGAATCCTCACAACCACTTTCCTTATACAGTTTTGGTATATAATATTATATATTATACTGAATCTCATATAAATGCAATTATAAGTGTAACCTGGCTTTTTTTTTTCACTTAGAATAATGCATTTGAGATTCATCCATGTCGATGTATATCAGTAGTTCATTCCTTTTTATTGCTGAATCTCATATAAATGAATATCCCATGACAAGTAAGTAACTGCATTTGTTTATCCATTCACCAGTTGAAATACATGTGGGTTGTTTCATTTTTTGGCAACTATGAATAAAGCAGCTATCAACATTTATGTACAGGTTTTGCTTGAACATATGTTTTTATTTCTCTTGGGTAAACACCTAAGAGCCAGATTGATAGTATCAGGGAGGGAGAGAATCACCTCCACTCTTTTTTTTGTTCTTATGACTGGACTAATAATAAAATCATAACATTGACACAAAACTATACTAATAGGAGAAACAAACAATTTAATGCATGCACAGGGGAGAATCATAATATGATGCTGAAATCATAAAATGAGGTTCAAAGAAATGATCAAACCAGATACCTTTTTATACCTTTTAGATAAAAAAAAAAAAATAAGAAATTTATGAAGAAATGGACAGGACAAAGGAAACAAACCTAGTGCTCGTTAGAAAGGAATGTAAACAAGGTTTGTGTATTCAGTAAGGAATCTAAACAAAGTTTGTGCTTGGGTAATAAATTATAAAAGAGGTAACAAAGTTTTTTAAATCAGGCTTTTTGTCTTTGAGTTTTTTAACTCTAGTAGTAATGGATGTCTCCACATGTGAGACACCCATTTTTTCACATGGGAGATTTATCTCCTGCTTTTAGAGGGACAGAGAGGTCAGAATATTCTCGCACAGACAGTTCCTTAAGTATCTTTAATTCAAAATAATCAATATGCCATTGTGGGATATCTTGGGGCATCTTGCCTTGGACTCTGACAATCAATTTTATGATAAGTGTGTGTTGAATTTTATAAGAAAGCACCAAACTGTTTTTTAAAGTTATTTTACAATTTTGAATTTTCAAAAGCAAAGCATAAGGGTTCCAGTTACTCTATTCAGGGTTTTGTTGTTTATTTTGTTTTAATTTTAAGCCATTTTAATAAGTATATAGCAGTCATTATAGTTTTAACTTTCATTTATTAATTATTAATATGTTAAGCATTTTTTCATATGCTTTTTTCCCCAACAAATTTATATCTTCTTGATGAAGTGTCTATTTAAATATTTTGCCATTTTCTCATTGTACCTCCTTCCCCTGCAGTTTTATTGAAATAAAATTAACATACAGCATTGTATAGGTTTAAGCTATGCAGCATAATGATGTGACTTACATATTGTGAAATGATTACCACAATAAGTTTAGTTATATCCGTAATCCCATATAGATACCAAAAAAAACAAAAGGAAATAAATATATTTTTCCTTTTGATGAGAACTTTTAGGATCTACTCTCTTAGCAACTTTCGGATACATCACACAGCAGTGTTCACCACAGTCATCATGTGGCATCTTGCACCCAGCACTTATTTATCTTACAGCTGGAAGTTTGTGCCACCTTTGACCGCTTTCATCCAGGAAAAATATGGAACATTTTACAAATTTGCATGTCATTTATGTATAGGGGCCATGCTAGTCTTCTGTTTTAGTCCCATTTTTAGTACATATGGTGCTGAAGCAAGCCAAGCACTCATTTCTTTTCTTTTTGAATTTTGAGAGTTCTTTAAATATTCTGGAACAGCAACCAATCTCTCCTCAAATACGTGTTTTGCAAATATTTTCTCTTAGCTACAGCTTGTCTTTAATTTTTTTAACGATTTCTTTATAAAGCAGAAAATTTTAAATTGATAAAGTTTAATCTTCAATTTTTTTTCCTTTTATATACTATTCTTTTTGGATGATATCTAAGAAATTTTACCAAACCTGCAGTCACAGAGATTTTGTATTAGTTTCTTCTATAACTTTTCTCATTTTAGGTTTTCTATTTAGGTCTATAACCTAAGGTGATTTTTATATCAGTCAAGGTTCATTTATTTTGAATTTGAATGTTCAACTGTTACAGTGACTTGTTGAAAAGACTTTCTCCATTGAATTGTCTTTGTGCCTTTGTTAAAGATCAACTGTCCATACAGAGATGTGTGAATCAATTTCTGGGCTCTCTATTCTTTTGCGCTAACCTTTGTATCTGTTTCTTCATCAACGGTAGTTTCATAAGAAGACTTGAAATATGATAGCATGAGTCCTCAACTTTGTTCCTCTTTTCCAAAATTGTTTAGAATGTTAACGTTCCTATGACTATCAATGTAAGTTTTAGAATCAGTGTATCAGTATCTAAAAATATTCTATAGTGATTTTCCTTTGATTTGTATTGAGTCTCTAGATCAGCTTAAAGAGAATTTGCCCACTTAACAACACTGAAACTTCCAACTCATAAAGTGATTTGTAGTTTTCAGTATACCGATACTATACATATTTTGTTGAATTTATACTTAAATATTTTATGTTTGTCAATACTATTATAAATATTAATGTTTTAAATATAAATTGCCAATCGTTCGTTGCCTATACAAAGAAATATAATTTACTTTTGGTTATTTACCTTGTATCTTGCCTCCTTATTAAATTCACTCATTAGTTCTAGTAGCTTATTTGTAGATTCTTGGGATTTTGACATAGTTACTCTGGATATTATTTCTTCCTTACCAATCTATAAGCTTTATATTTATTTTTGTTTTTCTTGCTTTATTGTACTAAGACATCTAATATGATGTTGAAAAGGAATTATGAGAGCATCATGTAGATTTTTTTTAAGATATATTTTATTGGGTTAAGTAAACCTCCTTCTATTTTTAGTTTGTGGACAGTTTTTAATCAAATGACCATCAAACATTACTTTTTCTATAGAATTTGATTTCTAAATGTTGACCTAATTTTGCATTTTAAGGGCAAAATTCATTTGTTAATGATGTACTTTCCTTTTTTTTTAAGTTACTGGTTTTAATTTACTATTATTTTTTGAGGATTTTTGTGTCTCTCTTCGTGAGAGATATTGTAATGTCTTATCTGGTTTGGTTTCAGGAAAATGCTGGCTTTATAGAATAATTAGGGAAGTGTTTTCTTATTTTCTATTTTCTAGAAAGTTTGTGTTCAATTAGTATCATTTCTTCCTTAAATATTTGATAGAATTTTCCAGTAAAGTGATCTTGGGCCTAGAGTTTTCTTTATTAGAAGGGTTTTAATAACAAATTCAATTTCTTTAATAGAAAGAAAGCCTGAATTGGCCTACATAGAGAGGTCACATAGAACTATTCAGCTCCTCTATTTCTTCTTGAGTAAGCTTTGGTAGTTTGTGTCTCTCAAAGAATTTTTCTATATTATCTAAATTTTTAAATGTACTATATGATTAATAATTATTATATGGTAGAGAAGGATTCTCGTGATCTGACCTCTGCCAAAAATTTACAATTTTATCCCTCTTATCTCATCTTGCAATTCAATCATTTCAAGTCATTTGTCCTCGGACAAGTACTGCCCTTCCTCACCTTGCCTTCCTGTCCCATTCCTACCTCTGGAGCTACTCATCTCTTAGGAGGGGCCCAGGAATCTGCATGCATGCTTAAGTTTAAGACACACTCAGCACTAAGGACTGAGTGTGACTTCTGATGGTAGCCTGTGCAAAGCGTACAGCTTCCACTTATTTCTTTAGGATGCTTGCTCTTGGAACCTAGCCATTGTGTGAGAAAGCCTGAATTGGCCTACATAGAGAGGTCACATGGACAGGCCAACTACATTTATTTCTGCTTATAATCCAGCTGTGGTTCCAGCCAACATCCAGCATCAACCACCAGATGTGAGATTAAAGATGACTCCAGATAATTTCAGCTTTCAATTATTGAGTAACTTCAGACACCAAGTCTTCAGTTAAGGCTCCAGACATCATGGAGCAGAGATAAGCCTATCCCAGTATGCTTGTCTGACCTCTGACTTACAGAATCCAGAAAAACAATACAATAGTTGTTTATTACACAAATTTGCATTGTTACATGGCCATAGTAACTGGAACACTTGTAGTTTCATAATTTCTGCAAATCCACACTGTATATGTGAGGGAGTGGCTGAAGGGAGTAGAAGCTTTTTCCTGAGAATAACTGGGTGCTGGCATCAGTCAATTGCCATATGCCTAACACTTTTCTTGTTTTCTCCTTTGTTGTAGCAACAAACTAATTCACTTATGAATAAACATTTATTGAGTGCCCATCATGTGCCAAGCACTGCTGTAGATGCCTGGGGTACATGAAGGAAGAAAACAAAAATGCCCACTCATATTGGACTTCCATTTTGACAAAAGAAGACGGATACAAACAATAAATATCAGAAATAAGTAAATAGATAGTAGATTTGAAGATGCTAAGTGCAAAAAGAAGAAAAAGGAAAAAAAAAAAAAGAGAGAAAGCCTGCAGTAGAGTAAGGGAACAGGATTGCTGTGGGCTTCTCACACTATTGATCAGGAAAGTCAGAATGGCCTCTTTGAGATACTTGAGCAAAAACTCTAGAGGATAACAGAACCCAAGTTATCTAGAAAGCAGAGCTTGAGGCAAAGATAAAATTAGAAACTTGAGAGTGTAAGCCCAGGATAGTGAAGCCACAAGAAGGGAAAATGAGGCCAAGAAATGAGCAAAACCAAGTGATGAGAGGAGTTATCAGGTGGGCATCTCTTCACATTAGGCCACAAGAGAGGAAAAAGAATGCTTGGCAGAGTGTTCATCTAGCACATCAGGAGGATCCTAGGATGGGCTTCATTTTGGAGAGAATAAAGTTGTGCTACCAAGTCCATTATTACCTGTCTTCTCCCAACGGCCTGGGTTTACCACACAGGGAGGTGTCCCTCACATGTCACATCATACTTCTGGCTGCTCAGGATCTGGGACCAATAGCAGACAGTGTGCCTTTCATCAGTGCAGAAGTTGAGTGTGGGCTGAGGCTGTGAGCCTAGGGCTATAGTGGGGATCCCTGGTACTGTAGGACCTGCTGAAGGCTAGGCAAAGGCAATAATAATGCCCAGACTGTGGTCCCTTAGAAAGAAGGAAGTAATGTAGGAACATTGAATAGGGGCTGCAGTTATTGTCCATTTCCATGTTCTATTCCAGAGGAATAGCTGGGCCAAGTCCCATGGTCATAGAGGGGTTGTCTTGTTTGAGAACAAGCAAGAATACCACTGTGGCTTGGACATGGATACAAGAAGGAGAGTAGCAGAGAAAAAGTCTGAGAGGAACAGGGGCTCAGATGGGTGAAGGCCTGTGGGTCTTAAGAACTTTAGCCGTCAGGTTTAATAAAACATAGACACTAGATGAAGATTTGTGTAGAGGACTGGCATGGCTTGATATATATTTGGAAAAAAATGACTCTGGCTGTTGAATTGTAAACATTTAATGTGGGGTGTTTGCAGGGATGTTAGAGAAGCACAGAGGTCAGTTAGCAGAATGCTGAGGTAATAAGGGAAGAGAAGACAATGGCTCAGATCACAGTTGTGGTACAGAGGTGCTCATAAGTGGATTCTCTCTGAAGGTAGAGCATGTAGGATTTCTTAATGGATTATATATTAGATGGGAGAGAAAGAAATGAGTTTAGTTTGACACCAAGGATTTTGGCATAATAGGATGGATGGAGTTTATATCACTGCATGAAGAAGGTGGCACATGGAGCTGCTCTCAGGGGAGCTCAGAACACCTGTTGGAGATGTGGAATGAAGCTATTTACATAGATACATTGAGTACATAATAGATGTATGAGTAAGACAGATAGATGTTATTCTTCTCAATTCAGGGTTAAAATGAAGTATAAGAGAGGTTGAAAGTCTTGATTCACCTGAAGTCATTCAGCTCGAAGGACTTAGGATATTGTCCACTGCAGTAGCTGCAGTGGAAATGGTGTATAGCTTAGGCTGGGTGAAGACAGCCGAGCAGGCTGGTTGGCCACATCCGATAAATTCAGTATTTTGTAAATTAGATTTAGCCAATTTAGCCATTAATTGGGCCAGTGAAAAAGAACACTTGGACTATGTCTGGCCTTGTAGCCTCAAATGGTTAGCAGTCTTCCATTCGTGCGTTGGTGAAGCCACTAGTAGTTAGCTAAGACTGGACAGAGAATAACAGTAAGAAGTGTCCTTGTCACAGACTGATCAATATTTGTGTCCTGCTTCCCCAATTTGAGCTGTCTGATCTTGAGGAGGTTACTGATGTCTCTATTTCCTCATTTTAAAGTAAGAATACAGTAATTAATACTAGTTTGCAACACTGAGGAACCAATGAGATGCATAAAATTCTGAGTAAAGTTTGTCACATGGAAAATGCTTAATAAACATGAATTGGGGTGATGTAGATGATGATTATGATGACGGCTTTCATAGAGTGCCTTTTTTTCTAAAGACCCTTTCTTCTTAATTTCATAAATTGAGGAACTGTGTTATATTACTTCTTGTGGTGCTTTGGGGTATGTAGATTTACAGGTTTGGGGGTTTTCGTTGGTGGTGTTTAAGTCACTTGATGAGTTTCGGTTGACAGAAATACTTTTGTGGCATCAATTCTCTATAGTTCTCTCTACAGCTGCAGGGAGATGACAGCCATGAGTGTATAAAGGGAAAATTGTGTCATTTGGAACTTGATATATTGAGAAAACAATACA